CAGCCCACGTGGTCCCTTGAGAACACAGGAGGGACTAGCAGCCTGCAGGTCAACGTCAAGGTCACTGGAGGAGCCTGGGGCAGACCTGGGGGTCAGCGCGGTGCAGGGGTGGCGGCGGCCCGGCTCTGCCCCCTGTGCCCTTGCGGATGAGCTTTCCCACCCTGGATGCCTTGGACACAGCCTGGAGACCCCGACGGGGTTTCTCGGGGAGTGGCCTCCAGCCCCAGCCACTCTGCACCAGGGAAGGGTTCCCTCTGCGAAAGCAAAAGCCATTCAGAGCCCACCTGGGCCCTCTCGCCCTGCCAGGCCACGGAGCACCGGCTCTCCGCCATATCCCGGGGGCACTGGGGGGCGCGGGCCTTGCTCCTCCGTCTCTGCTCTCCTCTCGAGCCCGGTCTCATCTGCCCCTCGCCCCCAAATTCTCCTCCCTCCTGCTCTTTTCCCCAGGGCATGTCGGGGTGAAGGGCTGCTCCCCACATAGAGAGCCAGGGGTGGGGGCAGGGAAGGGGCATCAGAGCCCCTCTGCCTCTGGTCAGGAGGGGCGGCACTGGCATTGGGTGTCCCTGTGGGGGTGGGGCGGGGTGAGGGCACTGGCAGTGGGTGTCCCTGGGGGGTGGGGCGGGGTGAGGGTGCTGGCAGTGGGCGTCCCTGGGGGGGTGGGGCGGGGTGAGGGCACTGGCAGTGGGTGTCCCTGGGGGGTGGGGCGGGGTGAGGGCGCTGGCAGTGGGTGTCCCTGGGGGGTGGGGCGGGGTGAGGGCACTGGCAGTGGGTGTCCCTGGGGGGTGGGGCGGGGTGAGGGCACTGGCAGTGGGTGTCCCTGGGGGGTGGGGCGGGGTGAGGGCACTGGCAGTGGGTGTCCCTGGGGGGTGGGGCGGGGTGAGGGTGCTGGCAGTGGACCGAGGGGGTGGGGCGGGGTGAGGGCGCTGGCAGTGGGCATCCCTGTGGGGGGTATTCCCAGGCAGGTGTTCACACACACACACACACACACAGACATCATCCTGAGCCCCTGTTTCCTGTGTGGTCAACAGGAAGCAATGGTCAGGCTTGTTTGGAGCAGTGGCCAAGATGCCACTGGGACAACCCTCCCCCATACGGAGGGCCCGGGTTCGAGTCCCAGCTCAGCTCCTGACGCCAGCTTCCTGAGGCGGCAGCGATGGCTCCAGTGGTTGGCTCCCTGCCACCCACAGGGGCACCTGGAGGGAGGCCCCTGCTCCTGACTGACCTGGCCCAGGCCCACAGGCCTCCGGCATCTAGGGGGTGAACCAGCAGAGGGAGGATGTGTCTGTCTGTCTCTGCCTTCCAAATGAAGTATTTATTTATTTATTTGAAAGTCAGAGTACACAAAGAGAGAAGGAGAAGCAGAGAGAGAGAGAGAGAGAGGTCTTCCATCCACTGGTTCACTCCCCAGTTGGCCACAATGGCCGGAGCTGGGCCGATCTGAAGCCAGGAGCTTCTTCCGGGTCTCCCACATGGGTGCAGGGCCCAAGGACTTGGGCATCTTCTGCTGCTTTCCCAGGCCTTCAGCAGGGAGCTGGACATGAAGAGGAGCAGCCAGGACCGGTGCCCATATGGGATGCTGGTGCCACAGGCAGAGGCTTGGCCCACTACACCCAAAGTATTTCTTTAAAACATGGACACTGCGGGGACACTGGGTGCTGCCATGTCCCACAAGGCTCTGGGAGATCAAGTAGGCCACAGGCAGGACCACATCAGAGCTGTTTCCAAAGGCCTGTCCCCACGTCACCCACAAGGCTCCTCCTGGGGGCCCTTCCCCGCCCACCGCCCAGCCCCTCCCACCCTCAACATCCCCCTCCACGTACCCCAGCCTGTCTGAGCAGGTCCTGCCTGCCCGAAGCCACACCCGCTAGAACTGTGCCTCCCTGGCCCCGCCCTCCCCTGGCCCCCTGGCTCCTAGGAAGCTCCCAGCAGCTGCTGCCTGAGGCAGCTGAGGGCCCTGCAGGCTGGTGCTCCTGCCAGCCGGCTGGACGGGCGGGGATGGGGGACAGGCGGGGACAGGGGACAGGGGGACAGGGGACAGGCGGGGAGAGGGGACAGGCGGGGACAGGGGAGAGGGGACAGGCGGGGATGGGGGACAGGCGGGGACAGGGGACAGGCGGGGACAGGGGACAGGCGGGGAGAGGGGGACAGGGGACAGGCGGGGACAGGGGAGAGGGGACAGGGGGACAGGGGACAGGCGGGGACGGGGACAGGCAGGGACAGGGGGACAGGCGGGGATGGGGGACAGGCGGGGAGAGGGGGACAGGGGACAGGCGGGGAGAGGGGACAGGCGGGGACAGGGGGACAGGGGACAGGCGGGGACGGGGACAGGCAGGGACAGGGGGACAGGCGGGGATGGGGGACAGGCGGGGAGAGGGGGACAGGGGACAGGCGGGGATGGGGGACAGGCGGGGAGAGGGGGACAGGGGACAGGCGGGGACGGGGACAGGCAGGGACAGGGGACAGGGGGCAGGCGGGGACGGGGACAGGCAGGGACAGGGGGACAGGCGGGGATGGGGGACAGGCGGGGAGAGGGGGACAGGGGGACAGGTGGGGATGGGGGACAGGCGGGGACAGGTGGGGACGGGGGACAGGGGGGACAAGGGGACTGGGGGACAAGGGGACAGGCGGGGACAGGGAACAGGTGGGGACAGGGGGACAGGCGGGGAGAAGGGACAGGCGGGGACAGGCGGGGACAGGGGGACAAGGGGAGAGGTGGGGACAGGGGGACAGGCGGGGACAGGGGGACAGGGGACAGGTGGGGACAGGAGGACAGGCGGGGACAGGGGACAGGGGGACAGGTGGGGACAGGGGGACAGGCGGGGACAGGGGACAGGGGGACAGGGGACAGGCGGGGACGGGGGACAGGTGGGGACAGGGGGACAGGCGGGGACAGGGGACAGGGGACAGGTGGGGACGGGGGACAGGCGGGGACAGGGGGACAGGGGACAGATGGGGACAGGGGGACAGGCGGGGTCAGGGGGACAGGTGGGGTCAGGCCTTCTCGGCCCTCGGTGGGCGTCCCTCTGCTCAGCCCTGGGGCTGCAGGTCCAGGGCCGGCCCCTCCCAGGCTGGTGGACATGTCCCCCCCTGCGTCCCCACGTGGCCGTCCCTCCTGTGTGTCCTTGCCGCACTCCTGTGCTCGCCTTCACTTGATTACTCCGGTGGAGACCCCGTCCCCACGGAGGACCACGTTCTGAGGTCCCAGGGGCTCCGGCACCTGAGCCCGGCGTTGCCGCCCACCAAGCCCTGGGCGTGTGCGCTGCTGTGTAAGGCCAGGACGCAGGCCCGGCAGGTGCCGAGGTGCCAGGGGGAGGCGCTGTGACCGGAGCCGCCAGGATGCCGAGGGCCGCCAGGGCTCCGCCGCTGCAGCTGCTCCCCTCGTCCGGGGAGGGAGCACGGAGGGGATTCAGGGTCCGGCAGCGCAGAGACAGGAGGGAGACCGGGGGCAGGGCTGGCTCGGGCCCCTCCCTCAGCTTGCCCAGAGCAGCCCGGGAAGGCCCAGCCCCGGCCGCGCCAGCGCTGCTGCCTGCTCCCTCAGCTGCCCCCACGGCGCTGGCGCCTGGCTCTCGCCGGTGAAACCAGGGCTGGAGCTGGTTGAGTGCCCGTGCCGCGGGCTGCCGCCTGGCCCCGCCTCCCCCCTGTGTGCTGTGCCTCTTCAGCAACAGGGCGGGCCGGGCTCGAACCCCCATCTCCGGCTGAAGTCCCTACAACCGCGTGCCTGCCACGTGCGAGCCACTCCGGCGTCCTGATCGGCCATGTTGGCAGGGGCGGGCACTCGGTGCCACGTTCTGCAGAAGTGGCCACGCTGGGCCCGGCCATGCCCACCCACAGCCTGGTCGCTGGCAGCGCCTCCGCTTCCCCGGCCCTGGGCCCTGGAGTCCCCTCTGGGGTGGCACTGGGGCAGCCAGCGAGCTCTGGGTGCCCGAGTCCCTCATCAGAGGGCCTGGGCGTTCCCATGCAGCTTCCTGCTCACGTGCACCCTGGGAGGAAGCAGGCGACGGCCCTGCACCCCTGTGGGGCACCGGGCGGAGCTCCTGGCCCCTGGCCCGCGCCTGCCCAGCCCTGGCTGTGGTAGGCACTTGGGGCACGCCCAGCAGATGGAAGACGATCTCGCTCTCTGTCACTGCCTTTCTTTTTTCTTTTCTTTTTTTTTTTTTTACAGGCAGAGGGGACAGTGAGAGAGAGAGACAGAGAGAAAGGTCTTCCTTTGCCGTTGGTTCACCCTCCAATGGCCGCCGCGGCCGGCGCACCGCGCTGATCCGAAGCCAGGAGCCAGGTACTTATCCTGGTCTCCCATGGGGTGCAGGGCCCAAGTACTTGGGCCATCCTCCACTGCACTCCCTGGCCACAGCAGAGAGCTGGCCTGGAAGAGGGGCAACTGGGACAGAATCCGGCACCCCGACTAGGACTAGAACCCGGTGTGCCGGCGCTGCAAGGCGGAGGATTAGCCTGGTGAGCCGCGGCACCAGCCCAACTGCCTTTCAAATAAGTAAATAAATATTTTAAAAAATAATTAGGATGGCCGGCGCCGCGGCTCACTAGGCTAATCCTCCGCCTAGCGGCGCCGGCACACCGGGTTCTAGTCCCGGTCAGGGCGCCGGATTCTGTCCCGGTTGCCCCTCTTCCAGGCCAGCCCTCTGCTGTGGCCAGGGAGTGCAGTGGAGGATGGCCCAAGTGCTTGGGCCCTGCACCCCATGGGAGACCAGGAAAAAGCACCTGGCTCCTGGCTCCTGCCATCGGATCAGCGCGGTGCGCCGGCCGCAGCGCGCTGGTTGCGGCGGCCATTGGAGGGTGAACCAACGGCAAAGGAAGACCTTTCTCTCTGTCTCTCTCTCTCACTGTCCACTCTGCCTGTCAAAAAAAAAAAAAAAATTAGGTGAAAATTGTAGATCTTGTGCTGTGTACGTCACTGGTCATGGAGGGGAGGGCGGTGGCCGGAGCGAGTCTGGTGGAATCTTCCTCTGCTCAGTACAGAAATGAAAAGCCGGGAAACAATTAGCAAAGAGGCAGAAACTTTTATTTGACAAAGAAACTTTTTTTTTTTTTTTGACAGAGTAGACAGTGAGAGAGAGAGACAGAGAGAAAGGTCTTCCTTCCGTTAGTTCACCCCCCAAATGGCCGCTATGGCCGGCACTGCGCCGATCTGAAGCCAGGAGCCTCCTCCTGGTCTCCCATGGGGTGCAGGGCCCAAGCACCTGGGCCATCCTCCACTGCACTCCCGGGCCACAGCAGAGAGCTGGACTGGAAGAGGGGCAACCGGGACAGAATCCAGCGCCCATATGGGATGCCGGCTCCGCAGGCGGAGGATTAACCAAGTGAGCCACGGCCGGCCCCACAAAGAAACTTTTGATGCTCGGCAGGCGGCAGAGAAGGCGTCTGGTGGAGAGGAGAGCGGGAGAGCCCGGGCGGGACGCCGGCTCCGAGGCAGCGTCCAGGTCTAAGGCGTCACTGTCCGTCCACCGGGTCATTCTGTGGGGGCGCCCACTGGGCGGGGTCTCACATCCGTGTGCTGATTGGCTCGGGGCTCATGGGGGGGGTCTCCTGGAGACGGCCGACTGTCTCCCCAGGGGCTCAGCCCCCTCCGCCAGCTCTGGCTGGAAGACCTGCAGCCCCCGGAGGTGAGATTTAAGGCCGCAGGGTCACACACGCAGCACAGGAAGCTGCCGTGCGGAGACGCCGGCCGGGCTGAGCCAGGCTTTCCAGCCACGGAGCAGCCCGGTGGTGACGGACAGTCCTCCTCCGTCTGAGGGGCCCACGGACCCCAGCCCCGCTGGCCGGCCTCAGTGTATCTTACCACAACCAAAAATAAGTGGATTTCTTCTAAGGAGTGGCTCAGTCCAGCTTCTGCTCCTACGACAGAGACTGGGTGACCTACAGAGAACCAAGGTGATGGCCGAGCTCCGGAGCGCGAAGGCCGGGGCTGAGAGGCGGCGTCTGCCTGGACGCTCTGGGACACCGAGGAGCACGGGGCTGGAGCAGGAGCTGGGTGCGGCCCCAGCAGCCCTCACAGCCTAGCCACGCTGCTGCATGGACCGAGTTTCCAACACTCGCTTTGTGGGGGGTCCACACGGTCTCTGCAGGCTCTCCTACCGCTCTCGGGGGCCCTGGGACTCCCAGTGAGGGAAGCCCAGGGCATCTGCTCGAAACCCTCGTCACCCCAGGTGGGCGCTAACCCTGGGCAAACGAGCCCAGACCTGCACGGCCGCACTGACAGTGGACAGCGGGGGCACGGCCACTCAAGCAGAGTGTGCTGGGGCCGCTCCTGGCTGTTCCCAGCCGCTCCTGCCTGCTCCCGGCTGCTCCCGCCTGCTCCCGGCTGCTCCCGGCTGCTCCCGGCTGCTCCTGCCTGCTCCCGGCTGCTCCCGGCTGCTCCTGGCTGCTGCACCAGCAGGTGCGTCTCTGCCTGCTCACAAGAGGGCAGGTGCGGCGGCCCCTCAGCTTTCCACAATCAGGAGGGCGACCTCCCCGCGTCACAGGGAACGGAGCCGGCACATTCCCCACACGGCTCCCTGGTGTCGATGGAAGGGGAGCAGAGCCTGACACACACACTCACACGCTGACACTGTCACTGTCACAGCCTCACACACACAGCCCCAGAGCTGACACTGCAGCGCATCCTGTGGGGCGTGGCCCGCAGGGCAGACTTTCAGAACTCGTAAACTAAATCACCTAAATCACCAGACCCCTGCACGGTTTGCCCTGGGATAAAGGCGGGCACTCTATAAAGTGTGGAAAAGTTGTGGCATCACAGGTAAAGCCGCAGCCTGCACTGCCGGCAGCCCATATGGGCACTGGTTCGAGTCCTGGCTGCTCCACTTCCGATCCAGCTCCCTGCTAGTGCTCCTGGGAAAGCCATGGAGAATGGCCCAAGTCCCACCCACTCTCTCTGCCGCTGCCTCTCTGTAGCTCTGCCTTTCAAATAAAATAAATTAAAAAAAAAAAGATTTATTTATTTTATTGGAGAGTCAAAGTTACACAGAGAGAGAAGGAGAGAGAGAGAGAGAGAGAGAGAGAGAGAGAGAGAGGTCTTCCATCCACTGGTTCACTCCCCAGTGGGCCACAATGGCCGGAGCTGTGCTAACTGAAGCCAGGAGCCAGGAGCTTCTTCCAGGTCTCCCACGCGGGTGCAGGGGCCCAAGGACTTGGACCATCCTCCATTGCTTTCCCAGGTCATAGCAGAGAGCTGGATCGTAAGTGGAGAAGCTGGGTCTCGAACTGGCACCCACATGGAATGCCAGCACTGCAGGCCAGGGCGTTAACCCACTGCACCACAGCGCCAGCTCCAAATAAGTAAATCTTACAAAACAAAAAACACCACTCACAGCTGCGCAGCACCTGCCCCTTCCTGCCCAGGTCACCATTCCTCCGCCCTCAGCTCCAGATGGCCCTGGGGGCACTGTGGCCAGCTCGGGTCAGAGCCTCCGTGTGGTCAGACGCTGTCCAGGGCGTACGGAGGGTGGGGTGGGGGCCACTGAGACGTTAGCCAGCTCCTGCCTGGGCCCCGAGGACCCGCAGCGGCTTCCTGGGGTGCCCTGCTTTCGTGGGGAAAGGTGGTGAACAGTGGAGGCGGCTGCTCCCGGGTGGTCACCGCTGGACGGTAGGGCAGCCTTTCCTGTCCGGAGGCGGAGGCAGGGCTCCGCCTACAGCCCTGTCCAGAGAGCATCGTGGCTCAGGGCACAGAGGGGACGCGGTGTCCCGGGCTGGTGAGAGTCAGCACTGGACTGACAGGGTGACAGCCAATAGGAGACGGACAGGGGCTGGGGGTGGGGCCCCGGGTCAGCACTGGACTGACAGGGTGACAGCCAATAGGAGATGGACAGGGGCTGGGGGTGGGGCCCCTGGTGGGGAGCCGGCGCCGCCGGGGAGGGTCCAGCTCGGGGGCATTGCAGGTACAGGGGACTGCCACTGGCCGTCAGCGGGGACACCGAGAGCCAGGTCCACACATGGACGACACGGAGACTCAGGGTAGAGCCTGGGAGGCGTCCCGTGGGGATTCCGGCCTTGGCAGGACGCCGTGGAGGGCCGAGGACAGGGGCCTGGTGGGAGGGCGCAGCCCCGTATCCAGGGCAGAGCAGGGAGGGGCGCGAGCATGAGCGTGGGTGGTGGGGAGCTCAGCAGGGCGGGGCCCCCACTGGGCTGGATCCCCAGGGTGACTCGGGGTCACCCCACTCCCCCCTCCCTTGCAGAGGCTGCGGAGGGGTGAGGCGTGGAGGCGCCCCTGCAGGAGGCAGAGCGGCTGTGGGAGTCGGGTCCGCGCAGGTCCCCTCCACAGCCGCTGTGCCCCAGAAGCCAAAGCCCCAGCTGAGCTGAGGCCGCGCGGGTGCGGCCCCGCAGCACCGCGCACCTGACTGCACCGGCTGCCCCCGCCCCCCAGCTGTCCACGGTGCAGGGCCTGGCGCCGGGGACACACGCAGGGGTCTGTGAGAGCTCGGGTGGGAGGCTCTCGACAGGGGGCGCCCCTCTCCCGCGCCATCCCAGCTTGGTGAGGCCTCGGCACGGCGGGTTCCAGTTGGTCCGGCTCGACATGGCCACGTGACACCCGCGTGGACCTTCAGGACTACGGGGAGGGTGGGTGGGCTCCAGGGCTGGAACTCACCCCTGGCCAGCCAGTGGAGCCGGGTAGCAGCAGGCGCTGTGGACGGGCAGGCTGATGTGGCCACAGGGACGCGGTGGTCACCCAGCAGGGCCACCGGCTGCGTGCAGGAGCGGTCCTGCCCTTCCCTCCTGCAGCTCAAGCGCCCGAGGCCAGGGGACCCACTGCGTTCCCTGCTTTCGGGGTTCGCTGCTATTCCGAGCGCCTGCACCGGCGGCTTCCAGCCCCGCTCGCCCCGCTGTTCATACTGTGTGCGGGGTGTAGACAGCGGTCGGAAGACAGCCGGCCAATCAGCAGACGCTGAGTGGGCGGGGCCTCTCCCAAAACACGCAGCTTCCTTTCAGGAAACCGCAGCTGTCCCGCCCTCCAGCGCCCCTGTCGGCGGGAAGGTATGGCGGGCTCTGCACACTCGGGCTCCCCGCCGTGCTCCGGAGCTTTCCCTCGGCCGCCCGCCCCAGCCAGCACAGAATGAAGACAAATCTAAGGGCCGAGTCACCGGAGCCACACACGGCCACCGATCCTCTCCTGCGCCGTCTCAGACGGGGAGACGCGCACTCACAATGCCTGGTGGTCAGTGAGCCGTCACCTGCAGCCAGTGGCTGTCCTGCCCCGACCCCCAGGGACGCTGGCCGGCCACAGGCGTGGTCAGAGGGGCATCGAGACGCCGGCTCTGCAGTGGGGCTGGAGCGAGGTCCCAGGGAGTACAGCTGGCGCTGGGCATCCAAGCCCATTGGAGGGGTGGTGGCTCACCCTGGAGGTGGTGGGCAGAGGGAGGAGGCGTCCAGTGGCTGTGAGCAGGCCTGGGTAGAGGTCAGGGTGCAGAGGGCCCTGCCTCCCACGGGTCCAGCCCGTGCTGTGCAGCTCCTGGTGGGAACAGGCTCAGCCCCCACCTGCACACACCTCCTTCCTCCTCCAGACAGGACGGCCATCAATCACTCGACGAGACCCTCACCTGGCTAGCAGTTAAGGCACCCACATGCTCCATCAGAGTACTGGGGCTCAGCACCCAGCTGCAGCCCCTGACCCATGTCCTGCCAACGCACACCCCCGGAGGCGGGGTGAGGGCCACCCAGGTCGGAGCTCCCAGATCCTGGCTCCAGCCCAGTCCTGGCTGCTGCAGGCTCTGGGAGAACCAGCAGGTGGCGCTCTGGCCCAGAAACGTCCGATGTCCCCTTTGACCTGCGACCAGGCGGGACTTACTGCAGTTGTCCTAGTAACTAAAGGACTGGCCACTGTGCAGGGCCCACGCACACGCCTGGGGGGGAGCAGTGGTGCGGCCGCCCCCTAACAGCAGCAGCACGAGCTCCGTGGTGCCGCTGCCAGCTCTTTGGCCGGAAAAGCTGTGGGCCCCACGCGTGAACCAGCGTCTCAGAGGGGGCAGGGCTACCTCGGTCCAGCTGGGCCCGGCATCCGTTCCCTTGGAAACCACAGGGCTGCCAGGGGCCGGGCCTGGCAGGGGCAGGAGACAGGGAAAGGGCAGTTCCCTTGGGAGAGAACAGAAGCTGCTTTGCTGCCGGGTAGCCTGGGAGGCCCACCGCGGTGCCCCCACCTGACCTGGAGGGGCCAAGGAGCGACAGCGGCGGGCGGGTGTGTCTGCCTCAATGGCGCCCCCCAGAGGCTCCTGGGGTGGCCTGGAAGCTACAGAGCCTTGGAGGGTGGGCGTGTCAATGGCGCCCCCCTAGAGGTGGCAGGTGGGACCTGCACAGGCAGGAAGGGGCTGTGACAGGGTCAGGAGGTGGGGGACAGGCGAGGGGACATGGAATGGGCGACACAGGTGGTGCAGAATGTGGGAGGTGACAGGCATGAAATGGCACAGGGTGACACCGGATGAGGGTGTTGGCACAGGAAAGTAACGTGGGATAGCAGTGACATGGGCATGGGTGCCGCCCAGCGCCCTGCCCCACTGAGCCAGGGGCCCCACGGGCGATGCCACTGCTGTGGGCAATGGGCTGCTCGCTCCACAGGAACCAAGGCTTCCCCCCCTCACTGTCCCCCAAGGCCATGGACAGCGGGAAGGTGAGGGGACATGCGGATGGAGGCGGGCAGAGGAACATGGAGGGATGGTGACAGTGCCACCTACAGATACCCACAAGTGCGCTGTGGGTCTATGCGGGACCTCGCGCAGGTGGCTGGCTGGGCTGGGACCTCAGTGGGGAGCCCGCACTGATGGGCTGGCCGAGGGCACCCCCAGCCGAGCCACGCCGAGCGCTGTGGGCAGGCACCTCTGACCACCCCCCTACCCAGGACACCTGTGTCCAGCCTCAGTTCCTGCATTTTGACGTGTGTGTGTGTGGGGGGGCTGACAGGCAGATGACCCATGGGTGATGGAGGAGCTGGCGCACACAGACGAGGCAGGGCGGGCACAGAGGCCCACCACGGGCTCACAGCAGCCACGCGGCCCGGCAGTGGTGCTCTGCTCGGAGTCAGTCCACCCAATGGCAGGACCTGCCGGTGCGGGTGGCGGCAAGGCCCAGGGAGTGACCAGTGGGGGGGGCAGTGATGAGGGACAGCCGCTCCTCCTCTGCCAGCCTCCAGCTCTCACCAGTGACAACTGGTGCAGCAGGTGCATCTCCAACCGTGGAAGTGGACTCTCCTCCAGAAGCCACCTGCCTTAGCACCGGGTGTGGAAACGCCAGCCCAGCCCCCAGGGCCTCAGCCCCCTGCTGCAGGCCACAAGGGGCCCCCCAGGCTGCTGGGGCACCCAGGTGCCCCCCCGGGGCCTCCCCGCCACCTGT